GGGTCGGCAGAATGGAAATCATCCCGCCATGAGATAAGAAAAGACTAGGGAGCAGGAAGGCCAGGCCAGGGACACAGATCACTTAGGAAGGGTAATTGTCAGCCCTAACCGGTTTGGCTCAGTGGATAGATCGTAGGCCTGCGGACTGAAGGGTCCCGGGTTCGATTCCGGTCAAGGGCATGTACCTTGGTTGCGGGCACATCCCCAGTGGGAGGTGTGCAGGAGGCAGCTGATCGATGTTTCTCTTTCATGATGTTTCTAGCTTTCTATCCCTCTCCCTTCCTCTCTGTAAAAAGTCAATAAAATTTTTTTTTTTTAAAAAAAGAAGGGTAATTGTCAAGTGGGAGAGAGAGATAAGGTCCGAGTTAGAGGGAAGTGAAAACGATCGCTTTGCTTTTGCTTTTGCTTTTAAGAGCGGAGGGACTAGGGCGTGTTTACAGGCGAGGGGTCAGAAGCAAGTGGCATAGAGTCTAGGCTCAGGCCCCCGGTGCAATGAACAAGGATGGGGTCCAAAGAGGGGACAGGACAAGACACAGCCCAACCAGGGGGAACACGTGTCCCCTCGAACCACATCTATTTCACAGCACAGTCCTCATGTACGTGAAAAGCAGACTGCATCTTCAGTAACTCGTGTCTAACGACAGGAAATCAGCCCGTGTTCCGTCCGAACTGGACTGAATGGACCTCGCAGGGTCTGCCCAGGTTCCCCCAGAATACGGCAGTCGGGCCCCAGCAGTCGCGCCTGCAGCCCTGCTGTTTTCTTCCTCTTCCTCCTCCCGCAGATGGCCCCCACACACGCGGGCCCCCGCCCTCCGACGGCCCGCACCCCGGAAGCAAGTCTGGCCCACCTGTAAGCGTTGTATTTGTGGATCGCCTGGTTGACGTTCTTCTCGAAGTTTGCGAGCTCTGAAAAGGCAACAAGAGGCTCGGGTGAACACGAGCCACGAGTCCACAGACGAGAACTGAGCTTCCCACGAGGGGAAGTCGCCGCCTTTAACCTTCAAGGGCGGGGACCCTCCACGGCTCCGCGGGCCACGCCAACAGCTTCCCGAGCGGCGACAGGGGCCCCAGCGGAGCCGACCCTCACCGGCCACCGGCCACCGGCGCGGAAGGAAGGTCCGCACGGAAGATGACCCGCTGCGAGGGGCCGACCCCATCCCCCGGGCTGTCGGGACGGGAAAGGGAGCAGGGACGGCAAGGGGGTGGGGGGGACGAAGAAAGCCGGCGGTCCCGGCGCCGGGCTGACCTGTGAGCATGTCGGTGATCCCCCCGTTGAGAGTCTCCTGCGGCGCTTTCCGTTTGCTCATGGCGGCCTGCACCTGAGAGCCCGAGTGCGCTGAGCCAGGGACCGGCCCCCTCGCCCAGCTGGAAGGGGCACAGGGACGCGGAGAGGTAGGTAGGACCAGCCCAGCCCCCGTGCAGCCAGCGCGACCGGCGGAACAATGGCTGCCACTGACAGGAGGCGCGGCGCTCGGCGCACGGCGCGCGTGGTGACGTCATGCGAGGGGGCGGGGCCGGGGCGGGGCTAGGACGGCGCTACCTCTGCGTGCGAGACTGAGAGCCGGTAGGGAGGCGGGGACCTGGAACCTGGGTTTGGCAGGAGGGCACCGGACACCCCGGAATTACATCCCAATGGGGTTCCTGCGGGAAGACCTGGATCCCTAACCTGAGACGTATCTGTTTTCTCAGTACGTATCTCTGAAACGCTCTCCCTCCAAGGGGAAATATAGGAGCCCCATTTTTCACTCTGAAGTCAAAACTTAAGATGGTGGGGTAGACAGTCTAAGGTGGTTGGATGGGAGATAGAATGCTGAGTTCTCTGTGCACATTTTATGTGTGCACAGTAATAGCTATTGAATTCACGACGCACTTTATATGTGATGAGGCAACAACACCAGGGTAATACTGTCAAAACTTTCTGTAAGAATGGAATACAGTGCAGCCCACACTGCAATGGGTTCTCCTGTACTGGGTGAAGCAGGAGCCCGAATGAAACATGCCGATAACAGGAAAGCCTCCTTTATGAGACTTTTTAACAGGTATGCCAACCAATGTCAAAAGACGTTTTATTTTTTATCCCCCTGCCTTTTGCGGTAGGGGCTAAGGTGGGGAAGAAACACACAAAAAACACTAGAATGGGAGAAGTGCTCAACCTAATGAGCAATGAAACTGCCATTACAACATGATGACCTGCATCTGAGAAATTGATAGTTCTGCTTGAGAAATGAAAATGTGACATCAGCAATATTTTATAAGTGTTAACTCCTGGGGTTCATACTGCCAAATTCCAGGCAATTGCTTTGTAAATAAAATTAAAAGCTTATTACAAAATGATACATGGCTGTAGAAAAAAGTATAAAAGGAGAAAAGAAAAAATCAGTGAACATCTCACCATTTACCTTTACTGACATATATTTTCAAATCTTCTAACCTAGTTCTTTAAAAATTCCCATCTTTTAATAATGGAATGCTTTAGATATATTTCCTTGATTAGGTTGTGTAGGTGTTTTTTTTTTTTTACAATATCAGTGTACATCTTAAGTTATACTTATTGGACATTTGTATTTCTTTTTTTGTGAATTTATTTATATCCTTTGTTCATTTTTCTAATAAGGTAGTTGCCTATTGTTAATGTGCTAGATTTTTAATATATTACTACTAACCCTTTTGCACAGTTTTGTTGGTTTTTGTAAATATTTGTATTTGCCCTTAATCCCTTGCCTTTTAACTTTATTCTGAAGCTTCTTACTACTTTGATTCCCACCTTCAATTAGAAGTGAGTCACCTTGTTTTCTGCATAACCCTTATTTTTGGCATTGCGTTTGTGGGCATCTCCTGTGAACTATGCCTAAAGTTGTGTCCCGGTCAGTTGTCTGCTCCTACACCCGAGACCGGGAGGAATATGAGGACGGCGAGAAGCCCCTCCACATCTACTACTGTTTGTGTGGCCAGATGGTTCTGGTGCTGGACTGTCAGTTGGAGAAATTGCCCATGAGGCCCCGGGATCAGTCCCGGGTGATTGATGCTGCCAAACACGCCCACAAGTTTTGTAACACAGAAGACCAGGAGACTATGTATCTTCGCAGGCCTGAAGGCATTGAGCGGCAGTACAGAAAGAAGTGTGCAAAGTGCGGACTGCCACTCTTCTACCAGTCCCAGCCAAAGAATGCTCCTGTGACCTTTATTGTGGATGGAGCAGTAGTCAAGTTTGGCCAGGGTTTTGGGAAAATGAATATATATACTCAGAAGCGAGAGCCTCCTAAGAAGGTGATGATGACCAAACGGACTAAAGACATGGGCAAGTTCAGCTCTGTCACTGTGTCTACTATTGATGAAGAGGAAGAGGAGATTGAGGCCAGGGAGATTGCTGACTCGTATGCACAGAATGCCAAAGTGATTGAAAAACAGCTGGAGCGCAGAGGCATGAGCAAAAGGCGGCTGCAGGAGCTGGCGGAACTAGAAGCCAACAAAGCCAAAATGAAGGGGACTTTGATTGACAACCAGTTCAAATGATTAGGACTTTTCTCTGAACCCAGACTAAAGGCAAGCATTTAGACCAGGAGGCGAAAGAACTTTTTCTTGACTGCATGGACTGGTTCCTACCTTTATGCCCCAGCAAAAAGCCTTCTGTTGCTCCCTACATTCAGTGAGGTCTTTGAGTCCATCTGACCTACTTTCTAGAAATGAATTTTTAAAATACATGGATCTTCTGTACTATTTTTTTGTCCATTTGATGTCAACTTCTTTAGTTGTATAGAAACTCCATGAGTAGACTAGTGCTTGAGTGTCTTTTGTTTCTAAAGTAGCTGTTCTTTAATAAAA